CTTCCTAAGCAGACTTTGCGAGTAAACTTGAAAACCATTTCCAAAAATATAATTTTTATCATTTATAAAAGACTAACAACTCGTCGTGGAATTCATCGCACTAATTATAAATCAAGGAAGGTATTTGATATTTCATAAAATTACTTTTTGAATGTCGGTCCCAATGGAAGATCGTTTCTTTGAGAAATCGCCGATTTGTAAAGATGGTGAATGCCAACTGTTAGCTTTCACGATGCGAACGGTGACCACGCGTGTCTGCGCATATTTGCGAGGTGAATTCAGTGAAATGTATCGTACTTTGCATTTGCAGGGCACAGGCACGAGGATGCGGTTGTCGGCAGTGGTCGAGTTATTGCTGATTCTACTCTTGGTCGCGTTCGCCGCTTACGGCAGAGTGATCGGTAACAATTTTTAATAGTTATGACATTGTCAACGTTATAATTTAGTAATTTCCCACGAATTCTTGCTTGTTCTAAAGAGGAAACATTTATTGAAGGATTGAACTTAATGAGGGATACAATTTCGAAGTATGAAGTCATTTTTTTTAGAGGTCTCAGAAACTCAGGGAAAATTAGATGAAATTATAGTCTAGTTTGCTTGAAATAGATAGACTTAGTGTCTTTACTTAGAAAATTGCTATTGACAGATTTTGATGAAAAAACTGAAGAAAGGGCAATCAAGGGTGGCACCAAGCAGGGTAATCTTGGGATATCGACGTTATCGTTGAAACAGGCGACGGACAATGTCAACAGGTATTGCACATGCAACGAAGACATATGCAATTGCTGCCGGGACTTCCATATACCGCTGGTGCAATTACAGGGACCGGGTGAGCGTTGTGTAACGTAATTAAACATAACAGAACGAGGCCGTTAGAAAGCATAACAGCCGAGGGAACGAGATGATGCATGCGCGCTATGTTACGCTTACTGCATAATGTCTTATTACTAAACGATTCAACGAGGACATTTTTGTTTCAGGATGCGCGTCCTTGCAATACATGCAGGGAGACAATCTGGCGGTTCAGCTTAGCTTCGGGGACAACATTCTAACCAGCACCATCGTGAGCGGTAAGCGTTCTTTCCTTTAGGTATTCACCGTAAGAATTCTTCGAAAGTCTTCGACCAGTCGAAAAACGCTAACGCGTGAAAAGTGTGTTAATTGTCCTGTGGTTCGTCCTTAAAAATTTCCAGAAATGCGATACGACTTTCACCCGATAGTCGTACACGATGCCAACGGACGTGGTTTATCGATTCACAAATGTCAAAAGATCGATTTCTCTCTAATATTTTTTATCGTTGTGAACTGAATTCCACGTTAGTTTTAATATATTCATAACGCGTGCGATCGAATTCCACTCTGTATGGTGTGAACGGAGTGAAAGTTTTGTGTAGATTATAATAGACGCATAAAAGAACCCGTTTCCTGGATCATTTCGATCGTGACGATTAATAACTCGTACGCTATCGGTTTTTAGGAAAGAATCCCAAACCCGTTTGCGTCCCGTTACCAGGAGGGTTCACGAAATTCTGTGGCAGAGTGTATTCCATCAAACGGGAGAACAAGGACCATTTCAAAGCATGCCTTGGACTTGAATTACAGTCATCGACCGAGCTCGAAGCCAGTTTACGCGTCAGCTGCTTTAGGTAACTAGATTTACGTTTATTAATATTATTCTTATATTAATATACAGTTCCAGATTGAAGAATGTATGAAATATATTATGAAATTATAGATTTGGTCCCGACGGTCTGAAACTACGACCAGCGGAGCCACTACCGATTGTCGAAGCAGAAGCCTCCGAAGATGACGACGACGATGACGATTTCTTCGGACTGGGAAGCGACGACGACGACGACGAAGGTACTTCTCCGTTAGCTAATTCCGTAACAAATCCGTCGGATGACGACGAAGACGAAGACGAGGACGAAGATATACTTGGCTTCGGAGCCTTGTTAGACGCCATAACCGGCGAGGACGAAGTTACGACAAAGAAACCGAAAGTAACCACGCCTGCGCCTCTTCTTCAGTTCACCATTCCTCTTCTAACGAAACCGACGCCCGCACCGTTGGACCCGGTTGTCGACGACGGCGTAGTCGCCATCAATGCAGAAGAGCAGATCGTGCAAGCTGAAGAATTGACAAATACGGAGGAAGAAAGTGATACCGAGAACGAATTCTTAGCGAGTGATGCGACTTCGATCAGCAACGAAGCTGAAGAAATCGTCACGGAGGCCTCCAACAAAATAATTTCGGTCGTGAAACCGGAGAAAACGCCAACGAAGAAGTTCACTGTGTCGGATAAGAAGAAACCGAGTATCACGAGTACTAGTATCAATGCCATTGACAATGGGGTGAATAAGAAGAAGCCGTTGAAGAAACCGGTGAAGATCGAAGATGATGAGGATGACGAGGATCTTTTGGCAGATGATCTGGATGACGACGATGATGAAGAGGAGGAGCTTTTAAGCGACGATGATGACGATGAGAAAGATAATGAAGATGATGATGACGAAGATGAGAAAGTCGACGAGAGTGAGAATCACAAAGACGAAGACGAAGACGAAGACGAAAAGGGTGAAATTGAAGATCTAGACGACGACGACGATGAAGAAGAAGACGCTGTGATCAGCGCTTTTGTCGACGACGATGGAAAGAAGAAGGGCAAGGTGAAGAAGCATCAAGAATTGTATGAAACGGACGAGGATGATTCGGATTATGGATTAGGTCTTACCGGACTTCTGGCTAGGAGCAGGCATTCGCGTAGCAGTCGCAGTCGTCAGAGCAAGGAAATGAAACTTTGAGATTAATAGAATTTAACGAAGAATCGCGAGATGGGATTTTCTTCGAATTGCCGAAAAAAATCGATCGACTCTTGGGCAAAGGTTTTTATTCTTATCGTTGTGGAACAACTTTATTATATCAATGGACTCGTTGATACGTTACGAAATATGGAGACTGATAACTTCTTTCTTTCTTCTTTATCTATTTATAAGCGTAACAAAATCAAACGAACCATGTTTAAAGATAATGTTTAAAAGGAATTTTATCGAGATGGATATAATAAGGTGAGGTAACAAAAGCAATAGTCAGAGCACGTGTAAAATAAGTGAATATCTAAGATTCGAATTAGAAATTATCGAACGATCATGAAGCAAAGACCGCTAAGGTTGAACAAAGTAAAAACAGACAGCGAATTATTCATTTCACACCTTCGTAAATGAATTACAAATTCTAGTAGCTCGCGAAGCCTTCACACAGCAGCGGCGCCTGCCATATCGATTTGCTCGAATGTAATTTAATGTATTTATTTAATTTATTGAACGTGTAATTAAACATATTAAATAAACGTGTGTTTTCACATGAATAACCATTTCATCCTAATGATTTGTTTACACGTTTAAACAGGTGTTATCGCGCGCGTCGCGTCGTTTCGGTCCCGCCGATTTTACTTTCTACCGAAAGTTAATACATAATTAATGAGCGTGATAGTTATCGTGGCGTGGTCCCAGCTCAACCTAATTTCAGTCTTCGACCAGATCCGATCGGCGACGGACCTTTCTCCTCCTTGATCACTGGTACCATGTCGCCTAAATTGTTCTACGTGTTTCTCTTGTTACTCGCGTTACAGACTATCTGTAGTGGTTCATTGGTACGTCGCAAATGGAATCCAACAGGTAACGATTAATTTTTATAAGTTCGCTTATTACGCCGAGTAATTTAATAATTAGAATCCAATTAAATCGCTTGGGATAATTAATGAGCGGAGGTGACGAGCCGTTTAAAAAAATTTTTTCATAATGATTACACAGATTTAACGCAGTACAATTCGATATATTACAATCCACAAACCGGGGAGGGTTTGAAAGCGGAATTGGAGGACCTCGGTAGAAATCCCTTGACCTCCAAAATCGCTTACCGAGGCTTGCCATGTTCTTGCGAAGGTCTACAATGTAACTGTTGCGCCGGTCTTAATTTAACGGCTATTAAATTCACACGTATGATATGCGCGAAATTCGTTTACCTGTCCGATGAACTCGGAGTTAAGTTGATGGTAACTATGAACAATAGGGAGATCTTCAGCAACAGTATTTCCGGTAAGCATTCTTCCTAAATTTGTTCGTCTACTAAATACCTCGTACATCATAAGTCGTTTTACAATGGTTGCAGCTAAAAATCCGCCACCCTTATGTCTCCCATTCCCTTATTTGCCCTTCATAACTTTCTGCGTTCGATTCTTCGACATCCATACCATCGACAAGAATTTACACGCGTGCATCGACTTCGAAACGCAAATCGTCAGCTCGCCAATATTAGTACTACATTTTAACTGCGTGACAATGGGTCTGGACGGGATCTCTTGGTCGAAACCTGGCGAAGCTCTGCAACAAATTGAGAGTGTCCCGCAGAATTTATCCGAAAACGTTGCGACTGAAGTGTACGACGAAGTGGAGTTCGAGCAGCAGGATCTCGAGGTTTACGCGAATTACACGTCTACGTTATCCCCCGAGGAGGAGCTTCAAATCGGACAATTAAAACTATGATCGATAATTATCATTATTTATTTTATAAAACATCTCTGGAAACAAAAGATTTGTTAATGTTAATGATATTTAATTCAAGAGGTGCATATATAAATATATATATTTATGCAGATACTGTATCTGCGGATTATAAGTTGTTAAATCACGACTATGTAATAGAGACTGTGAGATTATTTTCTCAGCGTTTATACACATACCAATTAAGCTAGTGTGACAAAATAAAGTAGGCAGATAAATAATAACGGGTTATTTACTTTCAATCTCCCAATGGTTTCTTCTCCTTAATCGGATTACTGGTGGAATCCATTAGGAGATAAAATGCGGGTGAGCAATCTGTGGAGAACCTAAATTTCTCCGTGAAACGAGGTCAGAGTAAGATATCCGTTAACTGGCCAGTCGAGTTTCGAACGTTCAACAAGGAGCACTATCCTATAACGAGATGTCCCCTCGTAACGACTGATTTCGCGTGACCAAAGACAATGAGGATCGCCTGTTGGTCGTTCGTTCTGGTCGTTCTTTGCGCCCAAGGTTCATTATCGTTCAACAAAAGAAGCATTATCTCGGAGAGGGAATTAGGAACAACCGTGAACAACGATGCACTGTTGCGCGCGAAGGGCTCGACTATGCAGAAATTCCAGGAGTTATTGAAACAAGTGACGAATTCTACCTCGAGCACCGACGGTCAGGTAACCGCCACCAGGCAGGGTCCTTGCAACTGCGGCGGGGGTGTTTGCGGCTGTTGCTCCAGAATCTTGTTCGATACGTGGAAGCAGAAGGCCTGCGTAAACGTGACATACGATCCGGACGAGTTCAGCTTCACAGCGAAAGTTATGATGAACGATAGGGTCTTGTACACGAGAACCGTGTCTGGTACGTTGATTAATTAATTAATAGTAAAACTAATCTGAGCATGGGAACGTTTCGCGTTTCAGGGAAGAATCCTCGACCGATTTGCGTACCGGTCCCAAGAATTCCAGCCGTGAGGGCGTGCGTACGGTTTTATAATATTTATTTTCAGGGCAGGAACATTCATATGTGCGTGAACATGGAGGGGAAGTTCCAAGATCTCACGTTGTTCAAGGTACGAAACGAGCGTCGTTTTCGTCGTGTCTTATGAATAATGCATATGTCCCACAGGTCGGATTAGACTGCATCAGGTTCGGTTCTAACGGGTTGGCTATGGTAAAGCCAGAGGACGGAGGTGGATTAGGTCAAGTAGAATTTTTGCCAGGTGACGACGATGATGAGGATGAGGACGATTATGATTATGACGACGACGACGACGACGACGACGATTTACTTGATTTCTGAGGGAACCTGAGATTCTGTTCGTCACGAACGCGGAAGGCTTAATAGTACAATTATTTTCCTACTGTTATTGTTACTGTTGCTGCATTTATTGTATTTTCTTTCTATTGAAAGAATTCTAGGACAATCATTGCCAATTTTTTTATAATTATGTATCGTTTAACGATATAACTCGTCGAAGAGTACAACGTCGCGTTGTGTTATTGAATAAATACGTACACTCAAAAGCTATATTTTTTTTATTGTATCTCGATAATTACATCCTGTGGAGGAACCACCGACCCGAGACAGTATTGTTCAGTGACACACCAATCATCGATGTTTGTCAGAGTATAACTATGAGAGATGTGATCTACCCGCGGAATAAAAACGTGAATGTATCACAGTGCTGAAGTGGATTGAACGATTCGGAACATGAATCCCAGAATGTGTGCTGTCCTGATTTCGTTCTGGTTGCATTTGCTGGTTTACTGGGTGAGAGGTACCGTGAAAGAAAGTTAGTTTCTTTTACTCTGCGTTCGACGTATTTTCAAAAGTTCAAGTTTCACACGATCATTAAATGTAATATTAGGACATCCTACGTCCAAGGGATTTGGTTTTCTGCCTTATAGAACGACTTCGACGGTTCAGAAATATTGTAACTGTATAACGTCTTACTCCTGTTCCTGCTGTCAAAGTGTCGTCATTTTGTACACGAAAGCCGAGAAGAATCGTAAGTTCTTGACGTAAATTTTCGAATTATCGTTCCTCCTCTGAAGTATTTCTTTCTATGCGACGCAGTTTGTGTTAATTTCAATTATCAAAGAACCGGATTCGACGTTAACGTCACATTAAATTCCGATACGTTGAGAGCGAGAGCTGTCATCGAGTATAAACCGTTCAAGTTTTGCACGAATATACCAGGATGTTACTTTTCATCTGCTTGCGTAAACGTGCTGGAACTCAATAAATTTCCGAGGTATGACGCGAGTAGATGAATATTTAGCGAAATCGTAACGATTCCCGCGTTTTTTGAAATTTCGAATGATTGATTCGAAGATCGATCACCGCTTGCCTTCGACTGGACGTGTTCTCGAAGAAACGACTGTGGCAATTAAATTACGACTGCGTTAGCGTCTCGACGGAGTTACCTACGATGTCGGGTAACGGGACGATGCCTACAACGAAGAGGACTGAAGGAATGGGTGGAACGTCAACGACGATGAAAGCTGGAATGACGTCAAGGATGACTACCACTCAGATGACGATGACAACGTTGATGCCTAGAGCTACGGCAGAAACCGAAGAAACGACCTCTTCGGATGTGGAAGTGATAACAGTACCGGGAACCGCGACGGGTGTGGATATCGATTAAGCAGTAATTATAATGAAGCAAATAATTAATGGATCTATTAATAAGTTATTAGGGAAAGAAAATATTTTTAGTTTATCGCGGAAGGAATGCGATAAAAATTTGAAACCAATGAAATATTTTTTATCAAAACAAGATTTATTAAAATTGTATTTTTGATTATCGTTTCCTCTCGTATGTCCATTTGTAGATGGGAGCTGAATTCTTCGTCTCCTTGCTCACTAATTTTGGCTTGGTGACCTTTTTGTCTTTCAGTGCTCTCTGCATCTCCAATTTTTGTTGCACAATCGTCAGCTCCCTTTCCCTGTCTATTCTCTTCTGCAATTCCTTGTAAGCGCTCTCCTTCTTCCGCTCAATCTTCTTCAAGGTCTTCCTGTCCAAATCTGGCAATTTCAAATCGTTTAGTTTACTTAATCTTGGCCTGTTCGTGCGCCTGGATAACAATGCTGGATGCGTGTCCAATTTCTTGACAACATCAAAGTTCTTCGCTTCCTCCGCATCGTCGACAAAGAAGATGTGTTGGTTTTCAGTCTCGTTGGCAACATCTATCATGTGCAATTGACTTTGAAGCTTGTCTACCTTCTTTGCTTCGATGTTTCTCTTATAAGCAATGTACTTAAGATCTTGGGTCTCCATCAACTGTATCTGTTCCGGTGTATAATTCTTCCGCTTCCTTTTCTCTTTGTGCACACCATCGTGAATTTTAGAATTGATCATATGATAATAAAACTCATCTGGATTCTTGTTCAGGGCACGTTTACGCAAAAGTTTCAACGTCCGCTGTTTTACTTGGTAATCCCTAGCTCTCGCTTTGTAGTCTTTCTTCTTTTCCAAAATACCCAAATGCTTACGAGACTCGGGTTGATGTCTTTCATGATGAGTCTTCTGAGTGGATTTCGCAGCTTTCTTCCACGAAGACATTGTGAAAACTGTAAGAATCAAATATTTGATAGATTATAACAACAGGTATTCCTCGTTAATCGAACATAAATATCGTTTATTAGTTATTGGTTGGCAATATGTCTTTACTTACTTAACTTTATATACACACACGTAAAATATAATTAAATTAAAGACAGTATTGCACTTTTTCAAAGAAAATGATACTATTGTGTACAATGAATCCTGTGGAACATAACCTGAATAACGAGCACTACTGAAATACCTGCAACATCTAGCAACGCTGGCAACGCTAGAAGGACTGAAAAAGTGAAAAGCTGTGGACGCTGTGGCGCTGTGGTAGAATTATTTTATACTTACAATTAGTTTCTTTTATTTAGTAAGCAAATAAAATCTTATATTGTTAACAAGAATGTTTTTTGCGATTATGATCAAAGACTAAAATTAAATTAATGAATCCTGTAAATGATTTTCTACGAACGTGCGTGTTGTCTTGGGATGTTCATATTTAAATTCACGCAAGACCTGTTTTAATTATCGAATGAAGCGAATGATACTACGGAGTCATACATTTGATAAAATTCTAATCGCAGAACTGACTATCAATCAGTTTGCGTGGATTGATGTGCCCTGTCGGGTAGAGGCAAAACGGTGTCGCCGACTAATAACGAACCCTGATGGAACACTTGAGTTTCCAAGGAAACACCTCGGGGGGATGTAAGTTGCCGATTATTTCGCATTCTAGCGATCGGTTCCCGTCCCTTGATCTTGTACCATCCACCTCGATGTCGTTTCGCTAAAGGACTTCGAGTTTCGAGCTGAGCGACGGTGAGCTCTTGTTGCCTCAGCGTCGGTGGAGTTTCTATAGCGTCCCTCGGTCGCTTTCCTGGCCTTTGTAAAAAAGAGGACGCGAAATCCGATACAGAATTGAAAGTATCGGACGTGAAAGAACTTGAAACGCTCTCTTGCCTTGGAGAAACTGAACTCCTCCCTAAATTTTTCGACGCTTCTGCGAATAAAAATGAACAACATAAGAAAAATGCTATTTATGCAGATGTGTTCATACGCGCACCTGATAAATTTTTCATAACATTCTTCACCGCGTTAGCTACCGCAGAAAATAATCCGCTGGAGTTAATGCTATCATCATTGCTATTCGATGAGGCGTTCAAGTCTTTATTTGAAGTGCCACTTGACTCGCTCGACGGTGTGTGATAATCTTGGCTTAAAGCACTGTAATAATTATTATTATTATCCCCGGGCGTTGTTGAATTGCTACTACCAAGAGAGTTAACAGTGTTGACAGAGAGATTCGAATAAGACGCCATTCGTTCCAGGGTCTTCAGACCGGTATCTATCATTTCAGAAGTTGAAACCGTAGAGTTGTTCTCAACGACCACCATCATCAATACTCGCGGATTGGATGTTGGAGTTGATGATGATTTTTCATTAATCTCTTTGATGTTGCCAAGACTATGATCATCTTTTTCTGTATTTCTCGCGTTATTCTCACCAGGACTAAGATCCTCTATTCTCGCATTTACGGCGATATCCTTGTCAGGAGTATGATTTTCTTTTTTTATATTTCGCAGGATATCCTCATCAAGATTATAATTCTCTTCTTTTGTATTTCTCGTGTTATCCTCATCGAGATTATGATTGTCTCTCTTTACATTTTTCGTGATATCCTCATCAGGACTATCATTCTCTATTTTTATACTTTTCGTGATATCCTCATTGACATTATCATTCTCTTTTTTTATATTTATCGCGTTATCTTTATCAGGACTACGATTCTCTTTTTCCATATTCTTCGTGTTATCTTTAATGATCTCGACCTGTGACATATCTAATGTTTGATGGATGTTGGGCATCGTATCGTTCGCCTCAAAATACTCTTCGGTCTCGGTTATATTAAACATCGCCTTCGATTTAGAGTGATTTTCGTATTGATCTGAGTATCTGGTGGGTTCGTCAAATTCATCTGAGAATCGAACTTTTTTAAGAGAACTCTTCTCCTCCGAGTATGTTTCTAAACCTTGAGAGCCCGGTAACGCTTGACTCTCGATGTTCGTCAAATCCATATCTTCCATCTGATTATCCGTACGATACTCGTTTGGACTATTCCTATCTTTGTTCTTCATGATGCCAAATTTTATAGAATTGCTTCGTGGAAGTTCTTCTTTACTTCGATTCAATGATAGCGAACGAAACGGAGTCTCCTCTTGATTGATACTAGAGGGAAGACTCATGTAATTACTCTCCGAACTGTCGCACTTCGTGTTAGTTCCCTGTAAATCGCTACCAGTTGGGTCCTTCTTCGATGATGCAGAGTCGATTTGCAATGTCTTGAGCGAAAAGCTTGATGTGACGCTGGGCGTTTTAAAATTGAAGCTCGTCTTTAGGCCAAAAACAACGGGTGTACTCGTGTTTCTGGTCAGTTCAGGTGGAGAAGTCAATGATACATAAGTGCCACTGAACTCGGACGATTCCTTTCCTTCTATTGTCGACGACGGTGTTTCCAATCGCTTGCTTTCCGATACCAGTGAGTGACGGTCATTACATTTCGTCCACTTGCACGGGCCTTTTTCAGGAAGTAGTATTATTAGACTTATTATTCTTCTTTTAACGAAAAAAAACGTGAAAATAGTTACCGAACGATTGTAAGTCTTCGGCGTTCTTAAAAATTTCACCACACAAACAGCAATGAAGGGGCAAATGATTGACTACTATGTGACAGAGGAGTATTTTATCTTCGATCGATTTCAACGGAAGTTTCTCAGAGAAGCAGAATGGACAATTCGGTTGGCGTTTCGTGTGTTTATTGTTCTCGTGTCGCTCACGACACTGTTCGCAGCAGAACACTTTTTTGCACACGTAACAAATCCGGCTTGTCTGTTTCAAGTAGACGTTTTACAATAAATTGTGAATCTACGATCACCACGGAAATATTTGAGAAAGATTCTTCGATAAATACCTCGACTGGTGTCATGATTGAACGACTTCGGCACAACTGGGACATTACGGTGTTTACTATTAAATTATAATCAACACATCGTGAGATGTAAAAAAAAAAAGATATACCGTCATGTTCGAATGGTCGCAAGTTATCAGGAATGGGAGAATGTTGTAAAAGACATAAAATGAAACTAATTTTCTTATTAAGTCAACTGCATATTTATAGAAAACGTTATATCGTTAATTAATTAACATATAGTCTGTAGAGGTCGGAATATAATATACGATTTCATGGTCTATCGTATTTACAATCATCGCAGTCGTCTATTATTTCTTTATTTCCTGATGCATCTTCGCAGTCAGCTTCCTTGCTGTCTTTCGGTTTCGTTTCACACTCGTTCATCCCCTTACGTTTCTGCTTCGCTTGTTTCTTGAAATCCGAAATGGTCATAGAATTCATATTGTCTACCACGACACTGACGTCGGATCTTCTGAAATCGGTATCTCTGTTCTCCAACAGCGCCAATGCTTCCTCGTACGGCGGTGCGATCGGTGTTTGTACCGGATCGTGATACGTGTATTCTTTACCTTCGAACTGAAATAAAAATACAGTTAATGCGGGACATAATTTCGTATGGAAATGGTAATTAACAAATAACTCACATCCAGTGGATAACACGTATCTGAGTCCGGCTGACTAAGATCACCGCAAACGACGAACGGGACAATCACCCTGTTAATTCCTTCGAGCTCACTAGAGTTGTATGCTTCATGAGTTAAGAGTGGATTAAGCATGTGAGGAGTGTAACCGTTTGGTGGTGAATAATCCTTGCAAACTACGAACGCTTCTATGCTGGAATTGCGGGAGCTTCTCGGTTTCGTGCAGTATACGTAAGGAAAAAATATTTTCAACTTAGCATAGAGTAAATCGACATCTTTGGCTCTGAATATCTTTGCTACGAACGTGCCTCCTTCTCTGAGTATATGCGTGGTAATGTTAAGAGCTGCCATTAGCAATGAGCCCTGAATATAAATATCCATATCGTGTAAACCTGTAACTATATTGATAATTGATTAATAAATTAATGTATAATCATAAGTAGAATCTATCAATTGTTAATGTTACCATCAGGAGCTCCATCGCAAACTACCAAATCTGCCTGTTCATTATCAAATTGAGCAATGATTTGCTTGGCAGTATTAATATTAGTAATGTCTCCTTGAATTTGGATTACTCCTTCCAACGGTGCCATAGCTTGGAGATCAACAGCAACTATTTTTGGTGGTATTCCATTTCCTGCTTCCAGTTCTTTCTTGTAATTCTCACTGTTCATAAAGGGAAGTATTAAAAATCAACATTACGACATATTTGATAAATAAAAAATTGGCACACACTTTAATCTTCGCGATAAAACCTGGCTCCAGCTACCTGGTGCGGCGCATAAATCCACAGCCTTGTTCACACCTGTTTCAAGTTACAAACAAATTCGATTTTATTTATCCAGAGATTGATATCGCGCTTCATGCACATACCATCTAAAATGTGGCACTCGTTATCTATTTGGAGCAATTTGAAAGCACTCCTCGCTCTCCATCCTTCCTCTTTAGCTCTACGATAATATATATCTCGTTTGTCTTTCGATGTTTTCCCCATAGTTAAATAACGAGTAATATTTATTGTTTATACTGTTCGTAGGTTAGAGCTCCATCATCGACCTCCTCTTCGCTGCTCTTCTTCACTGTTCTTCACTAGGTTTATTTTCCCTCAGGCTGAGAAACATGATAATTTTGTGAGAACTACAGCGTTCAAGCGTTGTTCTGTTGGCGCAGTTGATAGAAGTAGCTGTCCAATAATTTGAATACTCATCCATTCAAATTGCTTAATATAAATATTTTTCAATTGCCGCTCGCAAAATCCTTTAGAATACGGAAATAATATTTGTGACGGACCTTGACGTGCACGATAAATGAAACCAGTGATTAGATATTTGCATCTAAAACAGTTTTGTTTTTGCTTTGTTAAACACGTCATCGGTGATTATCGCAAGTTCTCAAGCCGAGCGTAACGAAATGTGATTGTCAAGCGAGGCGAACGAAATGCGAGCTGCGTACTAAAGATCGAGCAAGATCTTACAATTAGAAGTGCAAATATCGCGCTGCGCGTCTCCTCATTGTGTCTACTCGTGTTTTTGCAATAAAAAAGGAACGAGCAACCGCGATAAGAACAGGTCGCTATTACTACCAGATGCGGTGCTGATGTACTGCAAAAAGTATGCGAAAATTGCACGTTTTTAATGAGCTCTTCCATGTATTTAAAATCAACCTCGTAAATCTTGTCTATAATCGTTCCATTCAGTTTTTAATTCAAGAATTTCCGTCCGATTTAATTGGAACGAGAAAAAATCCGATCGTATATTTTCTGCTCCGTATTTACGATTCATGATTTCAGCAAACGATTACACGTCGCCGAGTTCGTCTTGCGTGAAGCAGCCGCAGTCTCATTTGAATAACAAACACGAAAAACAGTATTGTTCGTTCCTGCCCGATGACATAGTAATATATCGCGATCGCATTGAACGATTAACGGCGTTCCACGAAACGAGCGAGGATTTTGCGTTCACCTGAAAATGCGACTCGACCGAGAGAGGATCGCTCGGTCTTACGTAATTGCATATTTGCACGTTCCCATGGAACGCGAACGATTCCGTTTCGATTCCAGTGCACGCGAACCGATCGGACGCGGCTGTGGAAACGCGACGATTTGCGTTGCAAAATCTATTTTCTGTGGCTGTCCTCCTCGAACTTTCGCCGTAGATTCGACGACGCGACGTGGCGCCGATCATATGCAATTCATGCACGCGTGTGCATTTCCACGTATCAACATCGCTCACGTTTCGAGATCATCAGCAAGAAATGTACTTTGATAACAAAAAAATAAGCTCGCTTGCGCATATCGGATCTACCTACTCATCCAATAATTGAGTAATTTTGTTTTCTTCTGGAGGAAGATTAGATATTCTTGTTCAGCACATTCTAGGTAATAATACAAACAATTTGAGATAGCTTTTAATTACAACATTATGAATTCAGTAATTTTTTCATATTAAACGCTCGCTGTATCAATCATTATCATTGCCTGTGTGCGTACGTACGTACAATGGAAAAACAAGGATGAACGCGTCAATCGTGCGAATTACTACGAGGTTCATTCTTTCGCTCGATAAGACAAAGATAAGGTTGGTAAGGACGATGCTGTTTGCATAATGCACGAGCATCCTTGCAAAATTAAAGGAAACATAGTCTTTAATAAGCGTGCGGGCCATGAATCTCAAACTAGACGTGCCCGTGGCTACGGACGCAAGGCGACGCGACGTCGGCGTCGACGAATTCGATGTGTCCCTGACGCAACGCGGGTAGACGTATAAATTTAATAACAACGTGCTCCGGACTCCTGTTTTCTAACGAGCCTCTCTATTATCGACGACACGAAGACCTTTGGTATTTAGCGCGCGATAACTCGGCGACTATGTCTAGCGAGAGGAACATAAATAATTGCAATCGAGCAAGTTGCTTATTTTTCTTATCGGTTCCCGTTATCTCGTTAATCATCTTCGCCGCCGTTACTAATCCCGTGCCTCGGAATCATCTAATTAATGCGAAGCAATGTTCAATTCAAGTGCATGTGAAACTTTTCCATGCATTCGCCCCACTGAAAGAAGACGATAGATTTATTAAAAGACTATAGATAAACCTTGACTTCCCTGAAGTGCAGATGTCTATTACGGTCATAAAATATAACAGATAGTGAATGATTATCGCGAAATAATGCCAGAAATAGTTGCGGCTTTGGCGTGGCGCGAACAATAGGCTTCCTTCCCGTGAAATTATTTAGTATGCGCTTCGAATGGCATTAACGAGCGCACCGTCGCCGTTTGTTGTCTAACCCTAGAGAGTTTGTTGTTCGCCAGAATTACATAATGCCCGCCGGATCGCAAATGTCGTACACGTACAATACGCGTGTAGCTTCCTTCCAGCTGCATTCACGGATCAAAATGAAATATGTTCGAAAGCAATCGATAGCCTCGTGACAACGATCGGTTAGCCACTGACAGGAGCAAATTCCTATGACTCTTTGGGGATAATTGAAATTCGGAAATGACCCAGTTATTATTTTGGCACAACAGATTTAACGAGCCGCGCTCCTGATAACACGTTCCCGCGCACGACCGGTGGTTTCTTCAAAAGATATTGGCTTAATGCATTTGATTAACTGTGACCTTAATCGGGCGATTTTGCAACGAGCGCCTTCCCGTGCTAGGACACATCTTCGCACGTCACATCAAACGAACGCTGAAAGAATTCATTCGCTGCACCGTTGCATCGCGTGCGAATGTCTCTTGGCTTGTAGCCGTGTGCTATCTTTCCGGTTGTAATCCTAGTCATCGTCCATCTAAAAATGCCTCCTCAGGAAGTCCGTACGTGTCCACTTGCTCTATCGATCTTGCTGATTGTCGACTCACCTGAGAAGACAGCAAAGACTCGGCTGTTTGGATGATTCGGTGAGACCACGTGTCGTTTGTCATTCATCGCGAAAAACGAGGAACGAAAAGACGCGTACGCGATTAGCCAGCAGATGAACGGCACTCGGTATCTATCCATTCGGATTCCATCGAAGGAGTGGGTAGTCCCAAGCAAGATCAACGAAATTATTGATATTCACGGTGTAAAGAAGGACTCAGCCCTGACACTGTTTTCTCCAGGAAGCAGACTGCGCTGAATTAATATCGTTTGACATTGCTTGGTCGATAAAGCCGAACCACAGGAAGCGCAATTACAACGGCCTTCCGAAATGCCCGGGGAACCTCGATGGTCGATTCTACTGTTCGCCGGTATCGGTCGAGTTCAACAAGCGATGAGTGGCCAGTCAACAATGTCATTTGTCACGCTGGCAATGTAACAGTCGTTTATCGCTGGAACCTCGTGTTTGCATCGTGTGATGCCCGTTATCAGGTTTAACGTCAAATGCATACCTTCAGCGAATGCAATAATAGGACAGAAAAAATGTAAAGATTACAATGTTTTATTTCATGTTCAGTAGAACGTGTAATAGAAGGAAGTATCAGTTTTTCGTGATTGGCACTTGTATTTTATGTGAGTGGATCTGAATTCAGATAACGTTAATAAAAGGACACGAGATGAAGAGCCTCAGTAACGTCACAATTGTCTCCGCGTCTCGACCTTCGCTCGTCACGTAAAGAAAATATGTTGCACGTGTCCGCCACGAAACTGACACGCTAATTGAGCCCAGTGTTCCGCGGAACTGAATTAAGAATGATTGCCGGTGTTACGTTCTATGGCTCTGGTTTCTTCACCGTCGTTTCCTGCTCGCTCCGCGGATTCCGAAAGCGGCGCGCGATCCACCACCCTGGAGAACGAATTTCGGTTCAACGCTGGCCTGGCCAGCCAGAATGATCGCGCGAAAACAACCGATCTCGTGACCGAAATCTTTGGGCGCCGCGTATGCCGATCACTGTTTGATCTCTCTGCCCTGAACAAATAAATATTGCTCGATGCCAATTTCGTATGTGTTTAATCGACAGTTTTCATGTTTGAAAAAGCTGAACCCACATAATCATCTGGTAATTTATTGACTGTCCTCATTTCTTTTTCTCGTTCATACTTCAAATGATGTTTGCTACCGTTTTTCTTCAGGAGTTCTATGCTTTAGTGAATGAATTATAAAAAAATAATCTGACGTATCTATTACACATGAATAATTCGTGTAACGTAACGTGTTTCGTAAGACCAGTGACAAGAACGTAACGGAAAGATGGAATCGGTTAATCGTTACGTGTGTTCATTATCCCAGTCATTAGACGTTAATGATATCTACTTTGATCCGGTCAAATTGGCGAGGCGTGAATCACGACGATCAAAAGTCAAATCGGTGTAGGCGCGGCTGGTCTATTCTAAGCCTCTAATACAGTGCATCTATCTCTATCCAAAGTCGAAACGGTTCGTTGGTGACCAATCGAATTTGATTAAAAATCGTTCGCGGGCAACGGAGTTCAATCGTAGCTACTTGATCTCAAACGGACGACCTTACACTTCGCTCATTTTCTATAGTACCATGTGGATTTTAAAAATGAACAGACGTTGATAACAATCGATCAATGTGTGAATAAAAAAACATAAAAATTAAATAATTTGTAACAATTTAACATTCATAGATGATTTCAGAAAGTTATAGAATAACAAATTAGGATGTGAAGTCGTCAACATTGGACACGAGAGTTAAGGGAGGATACGGAGTAAAAGAAAGAATAAGGGAGCACTGTATGCAAGAAAAAGATGTATCAAACGAAGAAACGGTCGGCTCGACGTTCGTGAGCCGACTGCTCAGGTTGCTCAGGTTTAGCGGGTTTAGGGACAATGCGCGAGCGGAATGCTTACTACCGATCGGCCAAGCCGAGCCGAGCCGAGTTCGAGCGCAACCGAAGCGTTCGCGCGTGCGTGAGCTCGGTATAACTCGCTGATTTCGCCTGGAGCTTATTTATTTCGAACCTGAAACTCGCAGCAGTAACCACGTGCTGTGGATCGGTGCAGCGAGTAGTAATTGAGTCAGTCGGTCTGTGTTCTCTGTTGCGAATAAACGTCGATCGGCGGACGCTAACGTCAGTTGAAAAGAGAAACAGAACGAACTGCGGTAAAAGACAGAGGGGAAGGAAGTTGAGAGAAAGGAAAAGAGAAGACGCGTATCGTCGCGGACTCGCGTGAAACGAGGATAAAAGAGCCGCGGTGTAGGAAGGAGGAGGAATAATAAAAAGCGGGAGGACTGAATTGTATGCGCAGTTCGACGAATTCTTTTTTACAGAATTACGAATCGAACGTCGGTGCATCGAACCTATTCTAGTAGCTAGCACACGCGACAGCCGCTGGCGCTCGCGGGCTTATCGATTTTCCTTTAGGACAATTTAAGGGGTGTCTACTACAAGTGTTGTTGTGCGTTTTACGGTCAATTCGCTATAGTCTCAGAAGCGAGCAGAGGAGAGAACCTCGTTCCTGTTTCACAAGCCTTCAACTTCTCTGTGATACGCTTCGCCAGGATCGCCCTTATCGCTCTGTGATCTGTGTTCTGTGATAACGATATTTATTATCTTACGCGGGCACTTTTAGATTTAATCCAGCCGCCGCAGTGAAGGGTTAATCGTGTAACGCGCGCAGGTGAGTGTTATCTACTCATCTTTCAGAAATACTGAACCCGTTTACATTGGCAGCTGCTACCGGGGCAGCTCGATTTCCCGTTCGTTTCGTCGCAGTACATACGTGTCGAGAATTATCTCATATCAGCTCTTTAAGATATCGTTTCCTGACGGCCGTTCACATTATGTTTGCGATTGCTCGGCTCAACTGTTTTTCGTTGTCGTATAGTTTGCAGTGTTTATTTGCACCCCCAGTAGCTAAATCCATTTTCTTCCTGAGCGCGTTGACTTTAACATATTATCGCTATTATCTGCTTGCATTCCATTTTAACGGAAAAATCCTCAACTAACAAAGGTGATTCATTATCAGTTTCGCAGAAATGATATTTCTGGAAAATCAGCTCGTTCGCTTAGTTAACACCCGATCTTACTAATTTAGATTAACAGAAGTAGTTAAATGGCACCAGCTGTTCCTCTGTTTTCATTCAAAATTGCGTATCTTTTGCTAAGGTCATTGAATCATTTTTAATTGGATAGTATCGTGCAAGATTACTAAGCCCATTCCCGAAAATTGACATCCGTAAAAATATGTAGTGAGTCATGGAGTGACCCGGCCAGATAGATACTCTTAGCGCGGCCTTTCACGCGGTTCGCCGGACGCAGAAAAATGGAGAAAGGGAATAATAATAATCTACAGAAGCTCCGTGGCATGACCGCGAGATCATTTGAACTCGGTTATCGTGAAAATGGATCGCGTGGCCGACCAACTTTCCGACAATAGTTTGCGGGGGCAACGACTACTATTCCGAGCTCGTAACTCGGTGTCCCGAGGAGAACCTAGAAACGCTCTCGAGGGAAACGGCAACCGTTTCTAATAGAATCGCGGCGATGAACTCCGCAAGCGAAGAAAACGCGCGTCGATCAATGTTCTTCACGATGAATTGTTCTCCGAATCTTATCGAACTCGCATTTGGTCAGAGCTCGATAAATCGTTGCGGAACAGCAGCTAAAACGGGGGAACGTTCTCGTGACGTCGTGTACAAGATAGTGGATAAACGATGTCGTAACGCGCTTATCGTTTGCACCGATTAATAATCGTCGTGAATTAAATACGCGGGACGATTAACGAGCCTCAATCGTGGTCTCGTTCGTTCCACCGGTTGCCTCGAGGTCGACGCTTCGACCGAAATAATTTTACGGTTAAGGAATGCGCAGCGAGAAAAGGCGCCGTGTGTCCAGTTCGCTCGTCCCGAGAAAACGCTTCACAAGGACGCCGTTTTAATGCAATTAAGACAGATTTTGCGGAACACGCTCGTTTCGTACTGTGCCATTTACCGCGGAATGAAACCATTGCCCCTTCTCTCCTCCGCTCTGTTTATGAAAATTATACGAAGTTAGAACGCAGTATTCGTTGTATTTTTACTTCATCAATCCGGGATCGATCGTACTTTTCCGTGAGCGGAAAAACACTTACAATTATTCGAGAGGAGATCGGATGGTTAGGTAAGATTATGGTTTAGTTATTTGTACTTTGTGGAGTTGATCTCGAGAGCGGGTTTTGCGAGAACCGACATCAAAGTCAATAATCATCGAGGTCGGAGTCGTGGGCGAGCCCGGACCGCAAACCAGCTGTCGATGATACGAGTGGGGCATGCGATTTATTTAAACGACGATCCACCTTATCATAAATTTCCACTTTTGACAGTCGCCACCTACAACCGCATATCATACATTTAAATCTGAGCGACTCGCATATTGCCAATTAACTGACAAATCTATAATGTTGTTTGACTCAGTCGCGCGTCGACTTTCCTGTTTTAACAGCGAGGAGTCAGTCACCGTAACCGATTTCGCAACGACGTATCGATTCGCCCACGCGTCGCAACGTAGAAGCCCACGCTAGACGCAGTCGTCAGGGATCTAATCGGCTGTAAATCAGCGTGAAAGCGAGGAGATAGACAACGGAAAGAGAGGGAGGGTAGAAGCTTGTTTGGAAGCGACTCGAAGATTACAGAGACGAACACTCTGTTTAATTAAAGCGATTAACAAGACCGATAACCGCCTTAGTTTCCGATAAGGCTAGGGTCCGCGACTAGAAAAGGGGAGGAGGACAAACGAGATCAATCGGAGCAGCTGTCGTGTACCTGAGGCAGTCAGACGTCCGATCCGATTTTGAGAGGGACACGCTGCTAGAAAGCGAGGCGTCGAGCTTGAATCGGAGTACGCCGAGCGGTCGAGAAGAAAGTAAGAAAGAAGTTTCTCGAAGCTTGGTTATACCGCTGCCGACTGCTATCATTGGTGACTCTCCCGGGACGTTGGAGGGAGGTGTTCCTGGGTAAAAACGAGCCTGATCGTCTTCGGCATCTGGACAGCTGCTGAGCTACTCCTGAACCGCTGCCGTTCGCGTAGGTCACGGTCCTCGAGTGACGTAATTTTGCATAAATTTCAGGATCTGTATATCCGTCCGAAGGTCGTCGGTTATTCCAAGCCGCGCTTTTACGATTTCAATTACGTTTCGTTAAAAACGACTGTAAATAGCTCGATCGATTTCGCATTCTCTTTTGTGGAACGGCCTTTGAACACAGAGGCCTTGATTTTGAACTACGATAAGAAAATCTCATTCAATCGGCGCTACCGTTTTTTCATACGAGAAAGGAGCTGCAAGAACGTTAGATTCTGTGAAAGAAACCAGAGTGAATTCAATCGCCTTTTTTTAGCAACAGAGAAACGGTTAATCGCCGTTCCGATCGGAACAGTCTACTTCGGTTAATTCTGAAACAAACGTTAATCTTCGATTAACAGCACTCGGTTTTACTGATAACTGGCACATAGGATCAAAAGCGGAGGAAGGAATCTATCCGTACGATATCCCTCGCATGACTGCGGAAGGGAAACACACGGCAACGAAAGGAAGAGAGAAGTTTCTGGAAGCGTGATTCCCCGCCGCGCGTACTCTGCTCTAGACCCGTTCGAAAAGGAGAAGCGGGAGTAGACAGCAGGGATAGAGGGAACGCGTCAGAGTGAGGTCAGGCACTCGAAGGGAAAGAGAGAAGCCGATGGGAGAGCGTCACCTTTGAGAAAAAGACGAAAGGGAACCCGTAGGCACATTGTAATTTCGGGACCGATTTAGAGGCTCCCGTACTCTATTTAAGCCCTGATCTATAACAGAGGGGAAAAGGGAGAGCGAGAGAGAAAGCTACAGGATTTGTATAAGAAAAGAGGAGGTAGAACCTTAGGGAAAGGACAGGATTGGTGCCCCGAGGCGAACTAAGGAAAAAACAGCAGTTGGGAAAAAGGCTGGCGAACGAAACGAATAAGTCGCGCGGTGACGTTCAACGAGAACGAAAGGGAGGAAAGCAGACAGGGGAGAAATATTAAGCGCAAGAGTGTGTTACACCGTTGGTGTTAACAATGGCCAAGGGAAAATCATTGACGGTCCCCGAGCGACGGAGTAACGACGTTTTCGACGAGGAATCGATCGCGGTGCGATCACGATGGCGAAATCTCGCCGCTTTCTGGATGCTCGGCCTCTGCAACAATTACGGATACGTCGTGATGCTCAGCGCCGCTCACGATATCCTCGAGAGCAAATTCGGAACGACGGTGAGTAGTATTCATTCACATTTGCCTGCTGACAAATCAGCTTCGATTTGAGTTTAGGAAAAATTCGGTGAGGGTGGTGGGAAATATTGGGAAACATTACAAACTTGATATCAGATGTTAGAAGATACACATAATAGGTGATAACATTTCCTTTCGTAACTCGAAATACGCGTTTTCGTCCGGTTCGATTCGATGAAGAAAGATGTAGAATGAGAACTCGATACGCGCGCTAGAATTTTAAACTGCTATTATTAGAGTTGCACGAAGCCCGAGCTGGAGTCACACGGATATAATTAACGGTACCGCGATGCCATATTCGTAAAGACTTCTTTAAAAAAACCATCGCGGAATAGGGCTGCGCTACGGGGTCGTGCTCGTTTCCGGCAACAGTGCACACCGTAACCAGTTACAGCTGTTGCACCTCTGCGCTGGAAAGGTCTAGAAATGTCTTAAATAAAAATGTTAGAAATTGTTAGAAATGTTAGAAAATTCCATACATAATCGTCTTTCTCTATCGAAATTGTTAGAAACTCATCTGTGCAACATATTAATAATCAGACAATGAGTTTCTCAATCGACCTGAATCCTCTCTCGGTTTACTTAGCCCGTAATGCGCGAAACCTTTCGGTTGCTCCGATCGACCTGAATCACTGCCACGAATCCGCTGATTACGAAACGGCGAGCAACCGGTGGCGTCGGAGGTTCCCCGCGCGAGTCTCTTGGAAAACGTTCCGGAAATTTTCGTCCGTTCGTCCGCGGTGATAACTATGTACAAAAACAGCGACGTTACGAAATGATCGAATCGAAGCAGCACGCCGCGTGGCGCAGCGATGTGATAAAGGTATGCGCTTCGCTCGCGGCGACGTTTCGTTCCGAATCAGCAAACTCGTCCAGGCACGACGAGAACCTGATCGAGCGTGTGGAGAACGCCTCGCCCTGTACGCGAGCCGATGAATCACCGAGCCGTCCGTGTCCGGCCATATTACATGCACGGCATTAGATCCTATCGATTGGATTCCTACAATAGCTCGGTAGCGCGACGCTCCGATTGCCATAATGGCACGCAACCCTGTGAAAAAGTCTATGAAAACGAATCGCGTGTACCACCTAACGAACATCGACACTTAAACGATTATCGTTTTTTGAAAACGCAACTCCACCTTTGCTAATAGCAGTCAAATTATGTTTGAAATCGTTACGACAGCACTCGTTGACTCGACAGTTCAGTTTTGTACACCCACGCGGCTTTAAAATTTTTAATTCGCTCGGTGTCTCATTCCCGATATTATGATGGAATGTATTGTGAACCTCGTTACTGTACATCTCGACGTCGCTCCGAATAAGGAATCGATCTTTCATCGCGGCGCCAATTAATCAACCGATGATTCGTTAACGTGCCCGAGCCTGTTTTCAGTGTGTCAGCATTCTATTCAGTCCTCTTTTACCGCTTTCTACTTTACTTTCGGTTATCTTGACGTTATCGGGTGCATTATTATAATAGGAACTATTGACACTTTACTAAAGTGACCTTTTGGTTGTGATATGTCTATCTGTTCCACAGTTAAATGAAGGACAGCAAACTTATTATTATATAGGAAGAAATCTGCTGATTAGTCGGTTCCGAATTTTTTTATAATCTCTATAAGCTATTGTAAAACGACCCGTGATAACAGCTGTAATCAATTTGTACAGATCAGTGCAATCAGTGTAAGAATGAAGAACTTGATTGATGTTTCAGGTTGTAAAACTTTACAACTTAATTACACCGCATTTCGTTGAACGGCGTATTAGTGCAATTGCAAGTCGTGACGATTAGAAGCATCGTTTAACAAACGTTCCTCGTGATTCTCATCTGCGATACGAGCCAAACAAAGACGGCCACTAATAAATAAGGAGTAACGCGAGGAAACGATACCGGGCTGTGGTGAAGCAAGGGGAAAGGGAAAAAGTCGTTGGAACGGCGAACAATTAACTTAAATTACATCTCCGGGACGAGGAGAACAGATTCTCGTGTGTCGAGGAATTTTGCGTTATGTCATCGATAAATCTATGCGTGCATTTCGCATCGCGTTATGGACTTATACTCCCGCGCCTTCCCTTCTCCCTCGGCCACCGCTTCAACGGTCTGTTGCGTTTTTCGACCGCAATAGGAGCAAGCTTTGACTTACATAAGTCTCGGCCAGCCACGGGAATTAATATTCTACAATATTCAAGGCGGTAATGTCCGTGAAACGGAGATAAGCCAGACTGATGCCTTCTGTGACCGCAGACAATCGGAATTTACTCAAAAACAATTAACACATTTTCTATATGCTCGCCGGGGATTCGTATCTGTAATAGTTACATTTACATTAAGTTTATCACCAGACCTATGTGTTTAAATTTCATTTATTCAATTGTGTTTTCGAACAACGAATTTGCATATGGAAAAGTTTAATAATACACGAAGCTGATTGTCCGGTTGAACTAACACATAAAAAAACATTTCGTTCTCCTCGATAAATATTGTATTAATCTGACTGTTCTCTTTTTCCTCTTGGGTTTCGTTTCGTTTCTAAATTCAGAATTCTGGAGCGGAGTTCAAGAATGAAACGGTGACGATGACGAACATCACCGGGGTCCGGTCGTGCAACACGTTGTCGACAGGCGCTATACTGCTGGCGGACATACTACCCTCGTTAGCGGTGAAAGTAATCACACCGTTCCTGCCGTTTTACGTACAGTGAGTATCTATAATTCTAAAAACTCTTTTAATTCTTTCATTTTGATTGTGTTTATTCATCGCAATTTTTCTGCAAAGACATCACATTTTGTAAGTGTAAAAAAAAAGCCAGTAAGAGCACTGAAACAAGAGCCAACTCCGCCCCTTCGAATTACCAAATATTTTGTATAACGAAATCGCGACGTCATCGTCTATGAGATTCGCATTTTGCTCGCGACTTTCGCACATGTAGTACAACGGGTTGAAATCGTATGGACATATGCCCGATACAGTTCATATCTTATCGATACGTGAGGTTCTTTGTATTTCGCATCGGCTCTGATAGTGTTGCAACGGTTAAACTGACTACTAGATTGTTCGAGAAAGAAAACGCGATGTAGGGTCGACGGCAGCAGAATCATTAATCGAATTGGGTCATCGTCAATTTCGTCTAGATCGGTCCGATGTACGCGAATTCTTTCAAAGTGGTAGCACGGGCTACCAGTCACGAGCTCACATAATGCTTCTCGTCACACACGCATTTTACTTCTGACATTTCGTCGATTAAATGTTGCGGCTTCTACTTGGGGCACAGACGGATTCATCTCCGGAGTTCGTGCCTAGCCTACCGCGGGCACGCCGCTATTTACCGTGGAAACGAAAAACGCTAATCGAATTAATCGAATCCGTTAATTACAGTGCTCGACTGGCTACCTGTGTGTTATTTTCCGCTGCAGGATTCCTCGTGGTGTCGTTGAGCACTACTGAATGGCTCGCCATTCTGGGCGTCGTTATAACGTCACTCTCTTCCGGTTTGGGAGAAGTTACGCTGCTGAGTTACAGCCACCAGTATCCCAAGTAAGTATTATCGTCCCTATTTTTATACATGTTTAGCGATAATGTTTTCTCGCGCCGTTCTCTATCTGTCCCACTGTCGACGTTCTTATTATCAGCATATTAAGAATTTATTTTAAAAAAGTAGTGCTGAATATGGTAATTAGTTTCGCGTTCAAAGCACGCGGTGAACGGGATCGTATTTTTGTTTTTATTCAACTTACAATAGTTTCATTCAGCGAATCTATGATAATTAATGTAATTACCTGTGTGTCTCTTTGATCTCAGTGATGATGCTCGGGGATCGCAGCGTGTGCGTGAGAAAGAGCGAAACAGATAAAAAAAAGCAGTAGAGAAAGTAATGATAAAAAAAAAAAGTAAAAATATAAATAAATGAATGAGGGTAGAGAGAATAAAAAGAGATAACCGCACGGTATTGAGATTTAGACAGTTGTTCCAGTAAAGTACAGATAAGATAACGATAACGGCCGTCGGCTGGTTGGCCTTCCAATGTTCATAGAAAAATAGACGAAACACGTAACGAACTGTTCTAAAACAAACGTCTGAGAAAATGAAATAGACAAAGTAAAATAAAAAGTACCGTACGGGATTGTTGCGAAAACTCGTTGCGAGCACGAGGTACGTCTGTACTTATGTGTAATAACTGTTAATCACAATCTACTTTATATCCCCTCCCTTCTTTTCTCTTACTTGGCTTCTGTTTCTCTGCTACACTCTCTTTACTAACATTTAACAATTGCGAGAAAGAAATGTTCACCGTAGGGACTCCGCGCACGATGACAATTAGCACAGTTACGTTCCTATCAGTGTAGCGATATTTCGCGGAACTTTCGCAAGTTTTAAATCCTCTCCCTTAATTTATTTTAATTATGGTTATTGCCTACAGCTGTATATGTCTGATTATTCCCGTTTAACCCTTGCCACTGCCCGTTAATTGAGAGCGATTCATTGTTTCGCAGACAAGTAATCGCGACATGGTCTTCCGGTACAGGAGGCGCCGGAATAATTGGCGCTCTATCATATGCCGCACTCACCACGTGGTTGAGCAACGAAGATACATTGTTACTTATGTTAATCGTACCGGTCATACAAGCGATCACTTTTTGGTTGATTCTGGTTCACCCGCCGCACTCAAGTATCCCGATCACTAAGAACGGTATCGACAGCCAAGAACACATCATCGAGGTTCCTAGGAAGAGCTTTAAAGAAAAGATCAATCTGGTACCGGGATTGCTGAAGTACATGATCCCCCTCGGGCTCGTTTACCTCTTCGAATATTTCATTAACCAAGGATTGGTAATGCCTTTTTGTTTCATATGTTTTTGTATAAATTCTTGTATTTGTCTTATATTTCTTTTTCTTTTTTAAATCCTTTGTTACAATATGACGATAGACTGTTGCTAAGTTTTGGTTCATTGGCGATTATGTCAAGGATGTATTGGCTATATAGTCAATTCCAAAAGTTTATGTACCTTA